TTAGTATTTGTGCATAAATTTGAGTAATAGTGGAATTAACTTGTCTTCTTTGTAAGCATATGGATATTATCATATTACAGACAGCACTGTACTTCAAGATAGATCCTGAAATTTTCTTTTTGATGATGAATGCTACGCCATTCCTCTTGATTTGTTCATGCCTGGCACAGCAAAACATGTAATTATCAGATTCAAAATGGCCAATACCAGTCAATTTCAAGTCACTAATGCCTAGAATATAGATGTTTATGCATTTCATTTTGATATCTTCAAATTTTCCTAGATTCATATTTTGTACATTCCATGATGCAATTATTAATGGATGTTTGCAGCTGTTTCTCCTCATTTTGACTTATACCCCATCATCAAATGAAGATCTCAAAAGCTCTACTCCATTCCCATCATCACAGTCAAGTCACTTTCCGGAGTTAGCTCTTCCCTAGTCACATTCTGAGTGCCTTCCAACCTGAGGGGCTCACCTCTTGGTACTATATCTGATAATATTCTAGTGCTATTCGCATTGTTTTTTCTTCTTCTGGCAATATATATGACAGTGTTCCACTGCTACTCATAAGGTTTTCAGTGAAGAAATGTTCAGAAGTAGTCCACCTCTCATTTTCCCTAGTCTGCCTTAGTCTGGAAACTCCACTGAAACCTGCCCATCGTGGGTGACCCTGCTGGTATTCAAACTACCAGTGGCATAGTTTCCATAATCACAGCAACATGTAAGCTTCCACATTATGACATACTGATATACTAGAGGTGTTTAGTAAGATTTAATTGTAAGAATTAAAACAAAAAAAAAGTTTTTTAATTTGTAAAATACTGGAAACAAACAGTACAATATGGTATATATATATATAACTGAATATTATGTAGCCACTAAATTTACATACTTGACAATCCAATTTTAACAAAGAAATTATGCATATATAAGTATACACATATTTATATGTGCATAGAATAAAGAAAGAAAACTAAGTTTCTGTTTTTGTTAAGTGCTGTTGAGTTTGTTCTGACTTAGCAACCCTACATAGGGTTTCCAAGCAGTGGCTGGTGGTTGAACTGCTGATCTTGTGGTTGGCAGTACAGAGCTTATCCTACAGTGCCACACCAATGGTTATTTTTAATCAGTGTGGCAATGGAGGGGGGGTTTCAAATTTTCTGCCCATCAATATTATCTAACATTTTCGGTAGCATTATTTTTATAATAAAAACAACTTTGAAGTTCTATTTCAAGAATGTAATGATATTATTGGAAGTGCTGTTAACTCTGTAGGGCAAGCACTGCATTGATAACCACAAGATTGGCAGCTCAAGACCACCAGTCACTGTGTGGGAGAAAGATGAGACTTTCCGCTCCCACAAAGGTTTACACCCTCAGAAACCATACATAGGTTTGCTGTGAGTCGGAACTGATGTGACGGCACTTAACAACAATAACAATCTTTACAGAAGATAACCTCATCTTTTTCTCCTGAAGAACAGGTGGTAGCATCGAACCACTGATTTTATTTGCATTCAAATACTTTAACAACTGTGCCAACAAGGTTCCTTAGATGTGGTTGAAACAACTATAAATTATAAAAGATTATGGAATGTTACATTCTAAACAAAGTGTATTCATATTGCTGCACAACTAGCTTTAAGTTGCTTCTCTACTTCAATTTTAAAGAAAACAACTGAAAGTCATGGTTATAATTCCAACAAAACAGACAAAATGAAAACTCCAGGAAGTTATCCCTAACTCAAGAAAAAGACTTTGATTCTAAATCAGAAGACTCACCAATGAATCTAACATACATTTTGAAAATAATGTGTAATTGTAAATAACACATACTGCATATAAAGACATATATATGTAGCACATAAACAGTGATATACAAGGAAGATGTGTACTGTACAAAAACTATAAAATATATTCTACCGGCATAAAAATATAGCCATTTGTACAATTTCTTTAAATGCATACCATTTTGTGATTCTCTATTCTATTTTTCAATTAAATATGTAATATAGTAAAATCAATTCTTAATAAATACAGATCTTTAAAAGAGTTGTGGAATATAAATTGCTGAAAGCTTTATATGGAAATAAATAAAATCATGCCACACCCATAAAATTAAAAATTTCTCCAGGAAAGAATACTTTGTCTTACTATATTTAAGAACTTCATAAAATGCTTTGCTCATGAGAATTCCTATAAAGAGGAACGTGATGGCTCTGAACAATAACCTCTGGACTGTGAACCACAAAGTCGGTGATTCGATCCCACCAGCCACTACTCAGGAGAAAGATGAGGTTTTCTGCTCCTGAAAAGATGCACAGCCTCAGAAACCCTATAAAGGTCATGAGTCTGAACCAATTCAAAGGCACTTAACAACAACAAAAACATCCCAAAACATTAAAACAAATTAAGACTGTTGTACAATTTTGTTTTATAAACAAAATAAATTGTTTTTAAATTGGTTGTGTGAAAGTGATTGTGTGCAACTGAGTCAATTCTGATTCAAAGCAACCCTATATAGGGTTTCGAGGAGCTAAATCTTTACGGGAGTACAAAGCCTCATCCTTCTCCAATGGAGACTCAGACTGTTGACCTTGTAGAAGCAGCCCAGATCGTAATCGAGTACACTCCTTTATCAATTGGTAGCATTCTTTATAAACTGGAATGGTATATGTCCAGTCCTGAATATTTAGGTTAGAGTCTTGCTATTTCTTCTAATATTGAGCTTTCACTTGATTCATATATAGTGCTTAAGCATCTTCCCTTTAATTATTATTTCATCACAGAACAGATTTAAATCTAGAAATATATTAAGTCTCTGCTTTTCTGATAAGTGTTGCAGCTACATCATAATTCTGAATTTAAACACTAATCTTGAAAAAAGGTTCTTTATTGGAATTATTTTTTACAACAAATATTTGCTGAGAGTGTACCATGTGAAGGAAAGTACACTGTGGTTAAAGTGGCTAATATGCACTGTCTCTGCCTTCATATCAAAGAGCACAGCCCTCGGTATGGATTACATCTCAATGTAAAGAAAATAAAAATCCTCACCACTGGACCAATAAACAACATTCTTATCAACTGAAAAAAGATTGAAGCAGTCAAGGACTTCATTCTTCTTAGATCAACTATCAA